GCTTACTAGACGACCCTGGGCGTCTGCTAAACAGCCTTGCCCTGTTCGATTACTCCCTTGTGTGCGTCTACTAAACGTTTTTTTTTTTTGTTGCCCGGACAGAACACCTGGGCGACACAACCCGAAGGGAGGTGCCCAAGGTGCCTGCATGAATTCACATGCAGTCGGACCTCGCAACACGAACGGCGGCACGGACCCGCCCCAGGCGTTATCCGCGCCGCCGTTGCGTGGTGCCTCGAGATGCCACCCCGAGACACGGCCACCGGCACCACCCCCACTTGGCCGCCGGCCTCAAGCAGCGGAGGCCCCGCTGCCCAAGGACTAAAGTTCCCGCGCCCCCCACGTCGGAGGACCCCTTCGAGTAACCCCATCGGGCCTCTCAGGGGTGGTACGGCGGGCCCGCACCTACTGTGGCTGGCCAACCACAGGGCAAGAGTCTCTCCCACAGCCTCGTCGAGCTGTGGTGACGATCGGGCTGCCAACCCGCCTGTTTTCCTGGGACGCCACGAGGGCACCCAGCGGCACAGGTGCCATGCGTCTACTAAACGGCTTCGCTTGGGGCCGTGTTTTGTTGATTTTTAGTTCTCTCTTATACTCCTCGAGGCGAAGCAAAGGCAGAACGGGGCAGAGCGATACACGAAAACGAACACGAACGTGAGGAAGGCAAACGAAGGCTGGACCTAAAAACGGTGTTTGTAGGTCACCTCGCGGGCCGGGTGGTCAAAGCCAGGGTGGTCCAGCACGAGGCCGGAGGAACCCTCCGCGTCTCCGAAAGGGCCCGGGTAATGAAGCAGCTCTCATGCAGCTCCTTATCTGCCTCGTTGCAGCGCGTCGGTTGGCTCCACGCGTGGCGGGACAGCAGCTTCCTGTGCAACCTCAGCGGGGCAGCCAGTGCAGTTCAGGCTGTCCGGGACGCGGCGCCCAGGGACGAACGCTGGCACAGGCAGGCAGGCTGGCAGAGGTTCGCTGGCCAGCAGCTCGCGGCCCACCGCCCCGGCCCTGCCGGCGCGCACGTCCAGGCGATGCTGAGGCGAAAACTGGCGCATTGGTCAATCGTCCTGCTTCCGCGGCTGCGCCTCGATCGCGCCGTGCTCACGCTTCAGCGCGTGGGGCGCCTCTGCCAACCGCGCGTATGGGCTGCGGTGCTGCGCCTTTGGTGCAACGGATGGTGCACCAGCTCGCGTTTCGGAGGGCACGGGGCCTGCCGATTCGGCTGCAACGGGGGCCAGGACAGCATCTCTCACATGGCCTTCTGCCCGGTGGTGCGGAAGTTGTTCGGTGATCTTCTACCTGCCGGCGGGTTGGCGTTGGACCATTTCTTGCACATCGGAGGTCCTCGGCACACCGATGACGTTACGCAGCGCTGGGCGGTCGCGGTCTACGCCCTGTACCGCACCCACAATGCTCGCCGCCATTCCCGCCTTGAGGCCGCTGACGTCGAGGGCGCGTTCCGTGAGTATCTCCGTGAGGGCCGTCGCGGCATAGAAAATAATCTGCATTCTTAGGCGGGCGCGTTGTTTTTGCTTCGCGCCGAGAATCCCTTTCACATGCAGCTTGCCTTGGCACAGCCTGACTTTTCCTCCTCCTCCTCCTCCTCCTCCTCGTCTTTTTCGTTTCCGCGTCCGCAGGGTCTCCGCGGCCGGCGTGTCTCGAGGGGGTGCTGGGGACACAGAAGTTGCCACCAGTGGCCCCCTTACTCGGGTATTTGTCCTTGTCCCCGTCCTCTGCCTCCTCCTCCCCCTCTTCCTCGGCCGGCGGTCTGCTTCGTGGAGTTTCGATCTTCTCAGCGGGGCAATTTGCAGCATTCATTGTAAAGCCGGTCGCTCCTCTGTAGTTGGCGCCTTCCTTTGCATGCTCATCTTTACAGTGATAGTCTGTCGTTTGGGTGATGCTCTTCACCAGGGGCCTGCTCGCCATTTTTCTTCTTGGCGTTAGGCATAGGGCTACTGGCTTGCATAGCTGCCGGTTTGTGCCCCTCTCCTCTTCCTCGTCCTCCTCTCTTTTCTTGTCTCTTCTCCACCTTTTCCCCCGTCCCGCGCTTTGTGCGACACGCCGGCGTCCACCCACTGCCGGTGTTGCCAGGTGTTGATTGCTTCGGCTGGTTGCCCTTTTGCTTTCGTCTTTTCTCCTCTTTCCCCTTCGCTGCTTCTCCTGCCTCCTTGCTGCGGCCCGATGTTGGCTCTTTCCTCATCTGGGTTTCGGGTGACCCTGTAGGGTAATCCACAGGTGTCGCCGCAGCACTTCTTTAATTCGATAGCTGCCGCCTCTCCGTGCTGGACGTTTGAAAAGCTGCGCGCTACGAGTATCGCAGTCAGCATGGCGCCGGAAGGGAATCCGAAGACCCACTTTCAATAGGCAGAGCAGAGATCGGCAGGTATCCGCTGGCGCCACAAAAAAAAAACTCGCGGGCCGTTGTTTTTGTTTACCCCCCCGTTCTGTCTTGCACTCCTCGAGGCGAAGCGAAGGCAGGACGAGGCAGATCGAAACACGAAAACGACCACGAACGCGAGGGAGGCAAAGCAGAGCGAAAACGAAAAGACCCCGCCTGGGGTTCGGCCCTGCTGCAACGCCACCCGCCATGGTGCCCGGCCTGGGCCGTCTCCCGTGGGCCCCGGGCTGGCGTCGAGAGGCTCTCCCTGTAAGTCGGGCCTGTCCCTCCGCAGGGAGACTGGTCAAGAATAGTAAAACATAGTCTGGGGGCGATTTCTCTCGTCTTTTTCAGTATTTTTGAGCATCGTATTTTTCTTCAGCTTCGCCCAGAATCCGCCCGTAGGAGGACGCGCCCGACCTGACTATCCCTCTCGTGGCTGGGGCCAGGCAGGCGCGTGCACACGCCGTGCCCTGGGCGCGGCCCTCTGGCCCGGCGCGGCGGGTGGTGTGTGGCATGCCCCCCCCTGCACGGGCGCTCTCCCATGCTCTTGTGCTCCGTCCTGCGTCCCCTCCTCTTCTCCCTCCTCCTCCTCTCTCTCCTCCTCTTCCTCCTCCTCCTCTCCTTCCTCCTCTCTTCCCTCCGCTCTCTTCTCCCTCCTCTTCTCCCTCCTCCTCTTCTCCCTCCGCCTCTCCTCCCTCCTCTTCTCCCTCCGTCCTGCGTCCTCCTCTCGCCACCGCAGCGCTCCTCGGCGATCCCACTCCACCGCGTTCCGCCGCGCGGCCCTCGGTCCTCAGGATCCTGGCCTGGCACGGTGGTGGTGTGCGGATGCCTTGCGCGCATGCGCTCCCGTTCCGTTGATCATCGGGCACAAAGAGCCCCTAGCCCTCGCAAACATGATCGCGTCGTAAAGGAACCACGACAGAAGGTTTTTTGCCATTTTCGGCCTCCGGGGGCCCTCGTCCGGGCCCCGGGAGCGTCACAAAACGGCTCGGGATGAGAAGCCGGTCCCGGGAAAAGGGTCGGGATTGTCGGGGGCCGCGTATTGACAAAATCAGGACGTCGCACGTCTGGGCTAGTAACACGACGAAGACGTGGCCTCTTTGAGGTCCCCGCCGTCGCCTGAGGGATCATGCTTCTGGGCGGTTCAGTCTAATGCATCTGCAGGAAGAGATCCCCTCTACCCCCAATGCTTCTGGCCTTCCTGACTTAGACCTTCTCCCAAAGGGTTAGGGGAAATTGTTGGTTAATCATCTGTGCTCTGTCCTGCGTCCTCCTCTTCTCCCTTCTCTCGCCACATCGGCGCTCCTCGGCGATCCCACTCCACCGCGTTCCGCCGCGCGGCCCGCGGTCCTCAGGATCCTCAGGATCCTCCTCTTCCTCCTCTTCCTTCCTCCTTCATCCTCCTCCCTCCCTCCTCCGCCCCCCCTTCCCCTCCCCCTTCCCCTTCCCCTTCCCCTCCCCCTTCCCCTGCCCCTTCCCCTTCTCCTTGCCCTCCCCTTCCATTGTGCCTTCCCCTTTTCCTTTCCCTCCCTGTTCCCCTTCCCCTTCCCCTTCACCTTCCCCTTGCCACTTGCCGTTCCCCCTTTTTCTTTCCCTTTTCCTTCCCTTTCCCCTTCCCCTTTTCCTTCCCCCTTCCCCTTCCGCTTTCCCCTTCCCCTTCCCCTTCCCCTTCCCCTTCCCTTCCCTTCCCTTCCCTTCCCCTTCCCTTCCCCTTCCCTTCCCCTGCCCCTTCCCCTTCCCCTTCCCATCCCCTTCCTTTCTCCTTCTCCTTCTCCTTCTCCTTCTCCTTCTCCTCTTCCTCCTTCTCCTTCTCCTCTCCTTCTCCTTCTCCTCTCTTCCTTCCCTTCTCCTTCTCCTTCTCCCCTCTCCTCTCCTTCTCCTCCCTTCTCCTTCTCCTTCTCCCTTCTCTCTTCTCTTTCTCCTTCTCCTTCTCCTTCTCCTTCTCCTTCCCTTCTCCCTTCTCCTTCTCCTTCTCCTTCTCCTTCTCCTTCTCCTTCTTCTCCTTCTCCTTCTCCTTCTCCTTCTCCTTTCCTTCTCCTTCTCCTTCTCCTCTCCTCTCCTTCTCCTTCTCCTCTCCTTCTCCTCCTCCTTCTCCTTCCCTTCTTCTCCTTCTCCTTTTCCTTCTCCTCTCCTTCTCTTCTCCTTCTCCTTCTCTCTCCTTTCTCCTTCTCCTTCTGCTTTCCTTCTCCTCTCCTTCTCCTTCTCCTCTTCTTCTCCTTCCCTTTCTTTCATTTTCCTTCTCCTTCCCCTTCCCCTTCTCCTCCCCTTCTCCTTCTCCTTCTCCTTCTTTGACTGCTTCCCCTTCCTTCCTCCCTCTTCTTCCTCCCTCCCCGCCCTCCTCTTCTTCCTCCTCTCCTCTTCCTCCCTCCCTCCCTCGTCCTCCCCCCTTCCATGTCCTTCCCCTTCCTCTCCTCTTCCCCCCGTCCCTTCCCTTCCTCTCCCCTTCCTCTCCTCTCCCTCTTCCCTTCCCCTTCCCTTTGTTCCTCCCCTCCCCTCCCCTTCCCTCCCCTCCCTCCCCTTCCTTCCTCCCCTTCCTTCCCTTGCCTCCTCTTCCTCCTCCTCGTCCGCCCTCCTTCCGTCCCCTCCCTTCCCTCACGCCCGCCTCCCTCATGCGGGCGTGCCCCCGGAGGTCGTTGCCACGCTGCTGCAGGCCGCACCCGGCGCGAGACGGGG